GAAAAAGCATCATCGATAAGAATGGAGACTATTTCACTTAATAAATGTTTTGTTTTGATACATAAGTTGTTCGAGTTTTTTCATCTAAAAAAAAAGCTACATTAATCTTTTGATGACCTAATACTTTCAAATCTGTTAAGACTGGGAGTGCTATCCACTCTCAGAAAACTGTATTCCCTTCTAAGGTACGCGCGAAACTCGTGCCACTTTTGGTCTATTATAAAATAATTGATGTAGGTTATTAAAAGTTGCACACTCTAAGCATCACCTGCTCTTATTGTCCAGTTCTACGCAATAAATTGCATATAAAACTAATGTGGAATATTCCCGGTAGAACAACAAACAACTGGAGCGCTTTCTTTCTGTTTTTGATTGGTAATTAGGTCAGTTTTTAGGACCTGGGAGGGTCAGGTGCAATACTGACCTCATCTTTCTAGAGCGAAAAAATGTTAACCAACTATTTGAAATAACTGTCGTGATTAAAACTATAAACATGTTTGGTATCGTGCATAAACTAAAATTTCGAAAATTCCTTTAAATTTTGAAATGAGATCACTGTGCTATATAATAGTATATAAGAAATATTATGTACGCACCGGCATACTATACTCGATAATATCCAAGGAAGTTCACAATAATAGTAAAGTAAAAATATTTGGAGAAGAAAGCAAGAAAATGGGAAATGGTGAATATGAAAACGTAATTAAGGGAAAGTAAAATAATGATGTAATGTTATAATATATATTATAGTAATGACGTGAGGTAAAACTAATGGTGATCAAAATATTATAGTGGTTCTTTATTACTTTAAATAATTCGATAAATAATTCTTATATTGACACGATAGTTTAAAGCGGTCGGGAAATTCAGTGAAATTGTGAAGTCCATAATTTGCTGCAAGAATATTAGCACATTTCCTGCAAAATAGAAAAAATATCTATTGCAAATGCTTGAGCAGAATTCTCGGTCTTGAAAACTTAAAGCTAGTTTATTCGCTCTGTCCAATACATTTTGTAATGTTGTACAACTTCTAATGTATCTGAAGATGCTGTGAATCATAAACATTGAAACATAGCCTTTTGGAAACATTTGTGTTCAGAAATGGAAAGTTTATAATTCTAATTTTAAAAGCGTCTGTTTTATTGAAAACTTTGAACTTAAATGTTTGATTAACGATGTTGATATCCAAATCCAGGTTGGTTTGTTATTAGGGAAAGATCTTTTTTTTTTTTTCAAGAGTAAGTTCTGATGGATACATTTGTTTGACAATGTCAAGGAAACCTTGACAGTTAAAAAAAGTATATTCATAAAGATTATTCTAATTACTTGCTAGATCCTTCTACAGCTCGGTTATCTTTTCATCCATACGAAAAACAAGTCGATGGTTCACATTCAGACGAAATTTCAGAGTTTCAAAATCGCTTTAATACGAAAGACTTGGCCAACAAGTCAGGTGATTGCTTGACTACGGAGGTAAGGAAATAGTTAACAATCAAATAAATAAGAAAATGTGTTAGCATGTTCTTTACGAATTTTTAAAACAGAAATGTTTTACCTATATCTCCTTTTAGTCCAATCCACGGAGAAATGTATTGTTTTATCAAGAATTAAATTAATATATTCAATTAATGAATGATTAAGCTTTTCTATCAGCAAATCGTGACATTGTTAAAGTATCATAGCAAATTTCTTTCTATCTTCCTTTTTTGCCAAAGTAAGTGTACATATTGAGACATATTGTATATTATTATGAAATCGTTAAATATACAACTATATATATGCCTGATCAAAGTTTACTTTTTTAAAAAAAGATTCGTCAGACTACAATATTAATAATATTAGTGTGCCATCTCCTTGAAACTTAACCTTATTGTATATTATATTCTATATTTCATAGGATAATCCTACTTTCCAATATCCTGATCCTTATTACCCTCGTTTAAAAACTCCGCCTGCGGCCGTTAGGTGGCGAGTTACTGCTGTTAGTCACCCTCCAGAACAAGAGGATATAATCAGAACTAAAGATCTGACATGGGAAATAAAAGATGAAGAATTCCGAATGAATAATGAAAACACCAAACCATTTATTTCCACTTCTAGTTATCCTCAGGTAGCTAAATGTTAGGGTTTTTATGATTTAAGTTTTTCCTACAGCAAAAAAAAATAAACAAATGAAGAAAACATATCCAAAGGTTTCTGACAATATTAATGATTTTTGAAAAGTTATCATCTGTTTATATTTGCGAATAAGTATAATCAAATGTGTTCTGTATTTGATTAAGTAAAGTTCTTAGCTGTACATTTTGAGATCATACTTATTACTATTTATCTCTAAAGTTCTATATCCATAGATGTAATCATAATTCCAAAAGGATGTCAAATAAAATGATGTGTTGAAGCTTTTAAGATATTATATAGTTTCTGAATAATAATTATATTTTGAAAATGTTCAGGTTAATTAGTTCTTTGTGAAATAGAAAAAGTGTAGGTATATATCAACCCAATATTAAAATGTGCTTCACAATGTCGATTTCAATTGTGAATTTTGGTTTAACGATTTTCTTACACGTTCAGAAAACACACTGGTGTTATAAGTATCTTACTTACAAGCAGCTATCACTAAGTATTCTTAACATACGTTTTAAGTTGGTTACTATAATCATGAGATCATTCACATAAAATTACTTGGCTATCCAGACCAGCAGAAGTATAAACTCATACGAAATGATAAAGTTTCATTCTAAATTGAAAATATAGGAAACATAGTTATATAAATTGTGTCAGATGTGCTAGATGAGCTTATGCTTTTCTTAATAACAACCAGACACAAAAAATATATTAGTTTATTTGTATAGTTCAGCATAAAATTGAGTTTGTTTCATAACTGCAACGAGAAAATAAATTATAAAATCCAACTGAAGCGTATTTGAAAAACAACAACAAAAAAATTAAAAATATTTATCGTTTTACGTTAATACACGAGCTGATGCACAAAAGAAAATAAACCTTTCTGACAAACTATACCTAGTGAAAGGTTGAGACATTATTCATTCTCTGTATATTTAAACTATTGGAAGCTTAAGGGGATTATACCGAGATGAGAGACGAACATTAAACTTAATGGAAGGTTGAGACACTCTTCATTCCCTGGGTATAAGATATTGGGAGCTTAAAGAACATATATTGGGAACGAGAAATCGGGAACAAATATTAAGCTAATGTTAAAAACCAGTCTAGTTCTGTGTATCAGATACTTAAAACATCGGTTTTACGGGTCACTCCACACTGTTAATACTTGTTTTAGGTTAAGTAGTGAGTTGGATGTTCGTTTCACGTTCAACTATTTAACGTTCCACACTGCTAATACTTGTTTTAGGTTAAGTAGTAAGTTGGGTGTTCGTTTCACGTTCAACTATTTAACGTTCCGCACTGGTAATATTTGTTTTAGGTTAAGTAGTGAGTTGGATGTTCGTTTCACGTTTAACTATTTAACGTTCCACACTGATACTTTTCTTAGATTAATTAGTAAGTTGGGTGCTCGTTTCGCGTTCAACTATTTAACGTTCCACACTTTTCACTACAACTGATTATGATGAGTGATGAGTTAATTTTCAGTAAATGCAGTTTTTAATGCTTGTATTTATCTTAATATCTTATTTGCCCTTAGCTTTAAAATATCCTCTCGTTATCACAAAATTTGTTTTAATGCAAATCTTCATACGTTGAACAAATGTTAAATGTCCCTGCTCTGATACGTTTATTTTTTTTTTTTTCGCTCAGCAGTGTCGTAATGATAATTCTAAGTTCGTGTAACTAGAGATTTTTCGGCATCAACTCTGCTGCTTGTTCAGGCGAGACTGGATTCAAAAGAAGGGCAGTAACATTGAGAAAGTGTCTTCGAAGTTTCGTGTTTTTTATAGGCACAGGACGAACAACGTGAAATAATTTCTTTGTGTTACCGTATTTTGAATTTTGAAAATTTTTAATTTTCAACTATAATCTAACAGTAAAAACAAAATAATGTTTAGTATGTTTAGTTTTTTATCACTACCGTTTTCTTCACCACTTAACTGATGTGCCGCATATTAATCGACTGTACTGTTTTCATGCTCCTTCGTGAATGAAGTATATTTGTTCCACACCAAAATTCAGCCTCAACCTAACAAAATCCTTTCTACAAGGTCCTCCTCACTCGCTCAGTTTTAAATGAAACTTAGATTTGTCAAATGAAAGAGCACCATGTCTGCTCTTTACCACTTATAAAAAAAGTTAATTTAAAATATTATCCATAGTAAAAACAGACGGTGATTTTAGAGTCAGTTTATTATATAAGCATTATGTAAGCGCAACATACACTTCACAACTTTGTGTTTTTCTTGTACGCATGTATGTAGCTAGTAGGGATACCCTTTGGAATTGTATTCTTGAACTTGGTGATTTTACTTTTTTACTCTTTTTGTTCTTGTGATAGGTTTGTCATCAAGATGAATACAAAATGTCAACACCAGTTTGATGGGCAACCTTCAAACTCTTTATCCAATCCTCTTGTTCCAGAAGATAAGACGAAAATCTGACGATATGTTTATAATGATGGATTCCTCACCAGTTTCTTTATGTCTTTGATGACTGTAATTTGCCATGTCAGAGATACACGATATATTTCAGAGACCCAGTTTCCCATGCAGGCGTTTTTATTAGTAAACACTTTTTGAAAATATATGTACACTTATATTCCGCCTTTCAGTTCTGTGCATAGTTAACTGTTGTTTTGAAAGCTTATCAAATGTTTAAGATGTGCCACGATCCAAACAGAATTTAACAAAGTTATTTGTGAAATTGTGTAGTAACGTAAAACGTGGAATATAGATCGTTGCGGAACATAAGATTCTCTTTCACTGTTTCATATTCCAATGGAATGCAGTAAAATAACCTTAACAATTTGATATATTAAGTTATAGTCAAAGACAGTTTTCCAATTCTCGGAAAGCTACAAGTAAACTAAATTATTTATTGATATCACCATCACTTAAATAATTTACTCATTGACCTACAGATGCTATAGCTGTGGAAAATATTCATGAAAGACTGCAACCCTGCCAGGAAGACTTGGTGAAAGACAAAAAGTTTAATTTTTTTATACTTATTCATCGTACTAAAAGAAATGTTAAGTGTACATGTAATGCTGAACTGTGTATTTCGTAAAACGAATAATTGATTGTTTTTAGTTAATGTTAAGCTGATTTTATGTTTCTTACGTTCCATGACCTTACTGGATGAAAGCTCCATGTGTGTATGTGTGTGTGTGTGTGTGTGTGTGTGTAAGCAATAATAAAATTGATAATATAAGTGAGTTACATTATCTTTAAAATCTGGTTGTTGTTTTTTCAAACTAACATGCAAATTTCCTCTTAGGTCAATATACAAGTGTTCATATATTTCTAAACATAACTTTTATAACACATTAAACATATCCATGAAATTTTGAATTTGATCATGGTTGAGTTTATAACTAATTATACGACATGTTACAAATTTGCTTCCTACCTCATATAAACATCTTTTAAAAACAAAATGTCACAATTTTCCATTTATTTCTCTAAAAGAATAATTAAACATTAATAAGTTTTAGTTTTGGCTTATAAAATAGTTATTTCAGTGCTACAGTTTGTGGCTTGCTATTAATGATAAAAATTATTTAAAAAGAAAAAAAAACTTTTCGATTCAAATGGTGCCACAAGGGAGTTACAATGGAAAAATGCACACAAATATCAACTCATAGTTAAAGAAACTGCATCGACCTATCTTCCCTCAACTTGATTTATTGTGTTATTGAAATATAACCATAATAGTAACTGAGTTGAAATAATAGTTAAGAAACGTGAAATTCGGTAAATACGTGTACACATAAAATTTGGCATGGTAGATTTTAAAAACTTGGTTTTCTTCGCTGTATGACGTCAAAATTTATAAATTTTAAGCATTCTGATTTCTGTCAAATCCTCTTGTATGCACCAATTCATATTACGTATTATTTATAACAATAAATTGACGATACAGTTTTTGTTTGAGGTTTTTAAAAAATTATATTTTCTCCTGTTATACATCAGGTACATTTAGATTATCGAATGCTTTTGGTAAAAGTTTAGAAAAACAACCTTTACACTCCAGATAAATATAAAAATATATATATTTATATTTCAACCAAAGTTTCGCCTTTGCGGTTTCATCAGGGTTAATATACACAACTTTTTGTTTGTAGATTAACGAATATTCTACTATCAAACAGTTGTGTATATTAACCCTGATGAACCCGCAAAGGCGAAAAGTTGGTTGAATTTTAAAAAAAATATTACTTGATATTTATCTGGAGGGTAAAAGTTATTTTTCTAAACTTTTATCAAAATGTGTAAGTCACTCCAGTATGAACTACAAATTTTGGAAGACAACAAACAGTTATCGAATACTGTTAATGGGACTTTGATAAATGTGGCGTAATTAGTGTTGAAATATAATAATTTAATAATGATACTGAAAATAACGAATTCTATTGAAATCACATGAACAATTCAACTTCAAATAAAACAAGCTCCTCACACAAAATGTTAAATTTGTATATTGTTTGGAGATGCTGGGTCTCTGTAAATAGTAACACTATATACACTTATATTCCGCCTTTCAGTTTTGTGCATAGTTAACTGTTGTTTTGAAAGCTTATCAATTGGCTAAGATGTGCCACGAACCAAACAGAATTTAACAAAGTTATTTGTGAAATTGTGTTGTAACGCAAAACGTAGAATATAGATCGTTGCGGAACATAAGATTATCTTTCAGTGTTTCATATTCCAATGGAATGCAGTAAAATAACATTAACAACGTTCATTATAAGCCGAGAGAAATCTAGATTGGTCGGTTTAAGAAATTAAAATCTAATATCCATTTTTAATTTTGGATAATCCGGATTTATTCCTATGTAAAAGATATGTGCATAAGGTATTGTCCAATACACATTTTATTCAGTAAAAAAAATATTTATCAATGTACAAACCAACAAGTTTTCACGACTATGAAAATACCACAGTGACGAAACTTGAACAAATTACTTATATAAATGATAGCATACACAAGTAAACAATATATGCACTAACCTGTTTCACACATTGACAGATACGTGAAGCTCTTTGAATAACATTCTCTATCATCGATCCACTTAGATAAATAAGAATTAATTATATAGCTCAAACTACAATTCCCAGCTAGTCAAAAAATCGGATATTCGTAAATACGTTTGATGTTTGGATCTGAACGATTCATCAAAATAATTTCTAAAAAAACGTTTTCTATAGTTAGATATTCTTATATATCCTAGAAAGGTATTTGTGACGGTAAGGTAAACATTGGGATATTTAAAAATAATTGGTCTTTCACATTTCACAAATGGTATACATTTCTAACCTATTACTCGATAATTCAAAATGTCACAGAGTATCTAATTTGGTTTACATTGAAAATTAAATTTTTTAGATATAGTAATTTCTATTTTCACCAGGCTCAACAAATCTTTAAATTTAGTTAATGAGTTGTATAATATTGAAGTTCCTTTAGCTATTTCATTATTTTTCACGGATAAGATTGGTTAGTTGTAAATATATAAATAGATAGATAAAAAGCTACTTAATTTGACTAATTATTACACTAAAAATTAAATTAGTTTAATCTAACAATTTAATAAAACAAAAGGAATTTTTTTAAATCACTCTAAGGATAGGAAGAAAATTACTTTCTTTTTTATTCTATTTTCTTACGTTTGCTAATTTTACTTAACGAACTACATACTTCAAAATCTCAACGAGATTTGTTACCAACGAACTTGACACTCCTGACTGTAATAATTACTGAATCAGAAAATTATTTACTGCTAACACTTGAGCTCTATTCATAGGTTCATAGTATCCGCTATCTCCTCTTGTTAGATGATCTTTTGGTATCATCTTGCAAACTATCATGATTTTTATAACACTTCTTAAGTAGTTTATTTATCTCATTAAATATCTTAGTCGCAAATGATATATATCAACATCACTCGCGACTAAAAGTTTTATTTTTGTATGTTTTATTTCTAATTAAAAGACTTTGCATTATCTTGCTATCCATCGTGATACATTTCATATACTTCGTAAGTAGTTTTTTTCCATTAAATCTCTCAGTCGCAAGTAATATGTATGCGTATGTTATTCACGACCAAAAGGCTTGTGTCTTTATTCTCTGTGTATGTATTATTTTTAAAACATTATCAACAAACATAAACACACATGGAAAAACTCTAAAAAATACATTTGTGGGGAAAAATCTGATGAAAGAAAAAGGTTATTATATATCTTGAATTCCACATTAATAATAGCTATAGGAAAGATTTCCCAACTGATTTCTATCCTCTATCACAAGGATAACTATGCACTATAGGTGACCCCAGTGAACGCGTTGGGTAAGTCTCGGTTTGTCTTGAAGGAGAGGTTGTTGATCGCGAAATCATTGGCCAAGAATGTAACCGGGTAAAAAGCCCTCAGGGTTATTTACTTTGGAACTTTTGGGAATATAAAAAAGGCGGACTTACAAGATTTGGACCGAGAAAGCTCTTGAGGTTCATTTCATAGGATAAATCGACATTGTTTGTGAATCAGATATATTTCCCTTCCAGAAAACAACAAACAACAACAGCAGGACAACCCTGAATATTTGATAACACAGACATATGTAATATGTATCAATACGAATAACCCAACAGCCATGTACAAAAACCACGCGAAACTGATTTAGCGTAATGTACATTTTGGAACAAATCTTCATACCCGAAGCATCGAGTAATAGACTGAAGATGAAACTTCCGTGAAAAAATATTAAAGCTTCTTCGTGAAGAAAAATAGTGAGAAGCGGTCCCATAAAATTACAAAGTGGTTACAGACAGTGAAAATCAAAAACCCGCTTTCAATAGTTTTAGCGATTAATAAAATATATAAATATTATTTAAGAAATTTTTTTTTTGACTTTTTCATCATCAATATGTTTTCGTCTATAGGTAGTTCAATACTGAAAAAATTAAAAATTTCAAAAATGTTCATAAATATTAGATGATCGCCTATTTCATCAGTAGCGAGCATGAGCTCCAATATTTCTTGTAAGGCAAAACGACAAGATTTGAACAGATGTAAGATGCTTTTGCATACTTAATCTTTAATCTTCTTCTTCATATACTAAGGCTGGAATCATTTCCAATATCGTGTACATTAATGCCGTATCATTGTTTGTTTATTTTAAATTTCACGCAAAGCTACACGAGGGCTATCTTCGCTAGCCGTTTCTAATTTAGCAGTGTAAGACTAGAGGGAAGGCAGCTAGTCATCACCACCCACTGCCAACTCTTGGTCTGCTCTTTTACCAACGAATAGTGGGATGGACCGTCACTTAGAACGCCTTCACGGCTGAAAGGGCGAGTGTGACGGGGATTCGAACCCGTGACCCATAGATTGCGAGCCGAGCGCCCTAACCACCTGGCCATGCCGGGCCTGCTGCATCATATACAGTACAAACAAGATTTTTTCATAAAATCTCAATACATCTCATCCGTAGATGGCCCCAAATGTGTCTATCGCATTTTGTTCTACTGAACATACGTCATAAGCATCATTATCTTCGTCAGCAACGTGAATTCATTGAATATCATTATATATGAATATATGTTTAGCTTTTAAGGTGTGGAGGAGATGGAGAAAATGAATGTTAACTTAGAATGGTTTTCAAAGACGGACATTCCTCAACATACATTTTAATTACTTTTTAAGGTTTCGGGTGATCTCCTTATTAGGACCGTTCTGTTTAGATTTAACCACACTCACCACATCATCCACATGTTACTTAAGCACGAGGTGTATTTCATCCAGCTTCGAGTTTTCCTTTATTTCTTTCATCGTGAACATTACATCAAAGGGCCAGGATAGAGACTTACTGTGTTTCACGAGGTTTCTTTAATTTACTTTTTCACCAATAAATACAATGTAAAGACATAATTCAAAGACCTTTATGTTTTCCTTCTCAAGTAAGATATATATATATATGATCATGTAATTAATTAATTTTAGTTCTTTACAAAAGAAATTTAAATAACTTGATCACGTTAAGTAAATTCAAATATTTATTTTACGCTTAACAATAATAATCTCTGGAAATCAATAATGGATAATAATCTACTGTAATCAATAATGGATAAT